AAATTTTAATAGATCTATAAAGTAAGATTTACTAACCACGTGCATAGTGCATATCTTGGCCTGTCCACTTTCCTCACAAAGTCCGATAAAAAGTTACCACTTACATCCTTTTCCTCCAGCCACAACCATTTGAACTTGTTCTTTACCTTTCCTTCTATTCTACTGATATCTGCCGACCTATCTACTTGTTTGTACATTTCATTTGATCTATTATCGCTTCGGTAAACACCTTTGAATAGATAAGGCTCTTCAATTGTCTCGCTCAATAGAAAGGTACACAAAAGAATGACCGCATTTTCTAAAGCACGTTTGAGATAAAATCTCGTTCACATGACATGAAGTTTGCATTATAAGCATACAAGGTCTCGTACACGCCAGCAAGCATTGAGAGACTACAAAATGGCGGTGCCCTGTCGCCGAATGTAAACAAACCACGCGATTGCATAAACGCTTATCTATGGCATGGAACACCAAAATCCGATGAATAATTTAAAAAAATGTGTTTCTCAGGAAGAAAACCGGAGGTTTTCAGGATTTTTTAGAAATATCCGGAAGACTTTCATCATTAATTTTTACAAGAAGACTTTCGTTGTAGCTTAACATTCGACTTTCACAATTATATGAAGAATAAGTTAGCATTTTCCTACACTGAAAACGTATTTCTGATAGATCCTTCCCTCCTCTCACAAAATAGCTTTTCTCGATTAGTACTGCCCTCTATCGTCACAGATTTTCAATGCTTGCCACTAGCCTTCTACCTCCTGCATATCTACATGCAAGTGATCATGAAGCAGCTCCCCACCAATAGGAGCACGACACAACTCCTACTGTAACCAGTGCCCTGTTCACATTTGCAGTCGTTAATCACTTTGAGATTGGCAGTAGTACTGTGCACAATTAATATAATGTATTGGAATATATTATTGTTCATATCATTGGAAAAGTCATATGTTAAGCTACAGTGATATATTACACAAGTATAAACCTTAATATTTAGTTTACCTTTGAAGGGTTTCTGAAAAGAGAATTGTTACTTCTTGTTGAAGATGATATTCTTTAGCAGTCTTTACTGGGACCATAGCACTGACATAGCTGAAATATATTAAATACATTATTCAGTCACTTCTACAGCAACAGTTTTTCAACTGTTTATAAAGAACTCTAAGTGTTTAACATAGCTCCCACCCTCTTCACTAGGTTTCGGGTACCAAAATATATCTTAACTAATTCCAACATGTCTGCCACCGATGTTTTACTGAAAGTGAATCTTACATACCAAAACACAATTTTGACACATCTTCAACTCGGCTATTACCGAGAATTTTGGGCTTATGAAAATTTAACCTTAATACCCATGCAGTGTCTTATCATACATCTTAAAAATTATTATCTAATCAACATTAAACATATAACTTATGGTTAAGTAGCCTGAGACTTTCACATACATTAATAATATTTTTGTTTAATTTTTATATCTGGTCACTTGGGTTTGAAAAGCTGTTTATTCTGATAACCTTTAAAATTTTTAGCTTTAATCAAATGATTACAATGCATCATAGCATTTTACAATAGATAACACAGTAGCCCACAATGAACCATTTTAAATATTTGAAAATCATAATACAGGTATAAATCATTACAAGCAAACCTCAAATGCTTCTCACCTCAGTTCAAATTCAGCATAGAGTCTATCAAATGTCCTCAGGGCTTCCATAACCTAATGCAGAATAATAAGGTGCCATTAGAAAAAGACCTGTAAGAAACAGATTTGGCATAAACTAATACCAAATACAATGGTTTGTTTAATAAAATCTATCCTTTATGAGCATACAGACAATAAAATGTAATGAAAAAAGTTACAGAATACGAAAATTAAGTTAGTATAGAATCACTAACAACTGCACAACAGACTGTCCTCCTTCAAAATTTTAAAACTCAGAATTTTATCCTTACATTATTGTGTTTTTTGTAATGTACAAACACAAAATATTTTTAGAACAGATCTAATAACACACCCTTTTGACAGTTAGTGATTTGAAAGTATTGGTTGTTTTTGTACCAGCACCTCTAAAGGTTCAGTAATATATGTTTAAGTTATTTGTAATGGTATGTACAGTGTAATTTGATGGTGTAAATCTTCCTGGCTTTTTTTTAATTCTAGGACTGAACTTTCAGTTGCCTTCTCTATTTGAAAATCCTGAAATTTTATTAAAACAAAAAGTAACATTTATAAAACAATACTAGTGGCAAATAAAACCATTAGCTGTCTATAAAATATGAAACAAATTCTGCTATACCTACCCTCTCCGAATACCCGGGAGTGTTTCTCAGACACTGTTCCCTTAATAAGCATCGAATGCTGTCTAGGGAGCAAGTGACAGCTTTGGCTAGTGGTCTTATGCTGGCACTTTCAATCTCCCGGTTCAAGATGTTAGATCCAGCTGCCAAGCACTGGAGAAAAACAAAACTCATGTTTTTGTATTTTAAAGTATACATATAAACATAAATAGTCTTATGAACTAATTTCTAACTACCTTATATAGTAGTATTCCTCAACAGCATTAACTGGATGTTTATTTCATCAAATAATTAATAAGAATAAGAATAATAAAAAAAACTTAAGAGTAATATTCTTTGTTAGAAACCAAAAAAACCCAGTAAATCTCAAGTTTCTGATAAGTATGGAACTACTATTTCTCAGTCTTAATTTACAATAAGCCTTTTCAAAAGTTCAAGAAAATCTAATTCACTATACTACACACACACACACACACACACACACACACACACACACACA